AATGACACTCAATTGTTTAATAATCCCAATCAACAAAGAAATTTTAATTATTTCAAAGCAACTGGAAAACCAAACTTTTCTTTCCGAGAGTTGAGAAATATCGAAGACGACATTGATGATCAAAATTATGATTTTCTTGAATATGACCCTGAATCTGAATTAAATGATCAATACGAAAATCCATACGAAAATGATGAATTTGAAAATGTTTCATCAGAAGACATTTCAATTGATCAACACGAAAATTTTCGAAAACAAAACAAAGCAAATTAAAATTAAATTATTTTAGTTCGGAAATCTAAATTGCAAATATTCCCTCAGCCGCGCATCAAGCAATAAAATTTTATTTATTACATATTTAATTTAAATCTCTAGTGTATGGACTATCAATTGATGAAACCACTGTATTTCCTAACTATAACATTCGCCTTTTAATTGACACTGGTTCGCAAGCATCTCTTCTCCGACCATCATTGGCCGAATTTCTTTTCCCAAATTCAATCACACCCCACATAAGCACTCTCCAAACCTGTGCAGGCTCTAAAAAAGCTACAAATAAAGCCACAATTCCACTATTCCTATGCTACGGAATATCTGAACCTATTGAATTAATTCTTTTCCCTTTTCGCGAGTACTTTGACGGAATTTTAGGAATAAAAGATTTATGTAAACTAAACTTAAATATTGACTTAAGTAATCAAGTACTAAGTAACCAATATCTTCAAATTCCTTTCCACTACAGAGACAACTTTGAAAAATACAAAATAGAATTTCCACCAAATAGTATTAAGAAAACAATTTTCAAAGCAAATTTGCCTAATAACACTACATGGATAATACCCCATTATAAAGACAAAAATTTAGAAATTCAACCAACACTCGTAACCATCACTAATAACAGTTACATGGTTGATGTTACTAATCATTCAGATCGAAACATCCTGATAGAATGCGATATGAACCAAACCATCCCTCTTTTAGAACCAATCGAACTAAATAACTATGAAATATACGATTTCGAAAATAATGAAAACTTGCCAACGAAAAAATTCCACAAAATTAAAAATCCAAATTGTCATATCGATTTAAATCAACTAATCAGACACGATCATCTTAACTCAGAAGAAAAAATGCAGCTATTCCAACTAATAAAAAGCTACAAAGAAATTCTTCACAAACCTGGAGACCCCTTAACGTTCACCAACGACGTAAAACATATAATCAACACATCCGACGAAATTCCAGTGCATACGAAAAGCTACAGGTACCCGTATGTTCATAAAAATGAAGTGAATAAACAAATTT